AAAAAACAATAATGTATTCCAGTGAATAATGAAAAATGTGACAGAAGAACACTGCTTCAGGTATGAAAAGTACTGAAGTTTTGGATTTTTCTACAATATACAATAGAGATGGTAATGGTGCTTCAAGGAGTCCACTGTGTGAAGCCTAAGCTTGAGCCCTTCAAAATTTCCTAAAATTCGACGAATCGGGTGGGAATAAGGCTCACGAATCGGCCTAAAATTTGTTCGACCTGACGCTCGAATTTTGCCTTAGTTCGAGCTCATTTTTGACATCCAATAGCCGGTTGAAACTACGCTTTGGAATGATCACTACGAGGTCAAATCATCTCATTGAAAGGTCTCTGGAAAGATAAAATAGATTGAAATCTAAGGGTGGTGCAGGCGTCGACTCCAGGCACAGCTGACTCTTCGAGAATGCAGTCGAGTTTGGGTGCGATCTGTAAACCGTCCGTCGTGCTGGAATCCTTTCATGGAATTGTAACTGATTTGATTTGGTGTTGGTTGCACATGGACATGGAAATTTACCTGTTCGAACCATATATACTACATAAACACTTCACCCACTCACCACCTACCATGGCTAAATCAAAGCAAATCTATTGATCACCCCATAAACTAGGAATCAAAGATATTAGTTGATCAAGAGCCTAATCATTCTCCTCTTTTCGATAGGATCATTGGGGCAAAGTTTTTGAAGAATCCGTTTAGATCAGTCAGTTGCTGCTTCGAAGATCACATGTTGGACTGGTTTATTAACTGGTTTCTTCGATTGTAAAAGTGCCGAATTTGAGATCAGCCATCACGAAGGCAGTCCAGTAATTTTTGATACTTGAGGATATCCTTATTTCGAGTTTAGACGATTATCCGAGGTGGTAGATAAATGAGGATTTCAAAGGCTTTACAAGTGCAATGTGGTGATATAAATGGTTCTGTAAGGATGCGGTAAATTTGCAGCAGTGCAACAAGCACACATATATTTCATGCTTAAAGAATTATTTCATAGTGGATTTTCTGGTTAAATAGGGCAGCTTGAAGTGCTAATTTACTGGTTCTTGTTACACGTTGGATTGCTCAGTATAGTTGCTTTTGGTCGTTGTTTTGGTCATCTTCACCGTTCTCGACATGGTTACCTCTGAAACGATTTGGATCATTTTGCTCTCTTAATTTAGCAAATCTTATAGCAAATCCCTGAAATTTGGTCAATTTTGAAGCTTAAGCAACTAGGATTTTCCCAGCTCGATTAGCCATTAATTCTGGTGTCTAAACTTTTGAAGCACCCTCTTCTTTGAGGAAAACACGGCAGGTTAATGAGATCTTTCATATGTTCGTTCAGATGTTAGGGGGCAGTTAATGCCCTGGCGTTAGAGGCTAGATGAGGAAATCTTGAATATCGCTACAGTTTTAGTGGTCTGTACGACTACGTGGAAACCACATTATACGTTCCGATGCAGGCCTTTCTGAGCCCCTTGTAGCTAGAATGGAGCACATTTAACTCCACTGGGACTTGAGGTTAAGGGTTGGATGGTTCTTTAGGCTCATAAGCTCTCAATCGTAGGCATCTTTCTGCTCAGTCAGATCATAATTTGAGCGAATTTAAGGACTGAGGCTGCTCGCTCAACTCACCGTCATCTTCTCCGACTGCTGCAGTCCCAGCAGCTAGCACAGTTGACGGTGTTCCAGTGCTACTGCTACTTTGATAGATTGAAGATGCTTCTTGCTGGGATGTCACCCCACCAACGTCACGTACTGAATCTGAAACAGAATATTTCTCTGATCAGCCACAACTCTGAGTTCATATGAAACATAAGTCTCTAGCTTCTGGCTGCTTCATCTCTCGAAAGCTCTCGTTTGGGAGAAAACCCAAACCATTCACTAGACTCTAATCGACGAGTTCATTTCGGAACATTTCAGTTTCCTCACACAAGTTGATCGATCGATTTGATCACTCTAATACAGCCTTTGATTTGTCAACTCAGTTCACGATCGGCCTTTGAAGCCTTTGAACAGGTGGTATCGTAGCTGAGTCACTCACAACTCAACAAACTGAAGTCAAACTATTCAGCAGCCAGACCGACCTGGTTCGTCAAGTTTGATCGTATGTGCTCGTGATGAGTCTCCGACTCCGGCGCTGCCAATGAAACTGCCGCCACCTGCACCGCTAACCAATGATGAATAGCGACTTGTTGAGTAGAAATTTGGCAGCAGTCTCGGACTGAAACATTTTCAGCAAATAAATATTCATCCTCAGAGCTCTCAATACGATCAATTTATCCATTCGGATAAATTGAAATCTTCATTTCTTGAGCTCATCTCAGAATGTATTTTGTGTTGAATGTGTTGGGGGATTTCATTTGATTCGGAACGTAATCTCCTGCTCAAAGAGGAGCAGTTGATAGCAATAAAAGAAAATTTTTTCAATGTTAAGATTTATTCGTCAATTTTCTGAGCTTTCAACAAATTTTATCATCAGCCCGCTTTTCATGTCACTGCTGCCAAAATATCTTAAATATCTTAAAAATATCTTAAAAACCCAAAATATCTTAAATCGGCTTTGGATAATCTCTTTGGAATGTGTTTTTCCAATAGTATGGATTGCCAGTTTGCAGTCTGATCGTTGCCGAAAAATTTGATCTTAACCAGATTGTTTATCACTTCTTTTAGGAGCCTTCAGCAGAATATTTCTCAAATGAAATCACCTCAGAACCTCAAAACATTACTCGAAATCACTACTGAAAACATATTTTGATCAAAAAAATGAATACCTTCCGATCACGCTGTGTA